ATATATATATATATATATATATATATGTGTGTGTGTGTGTATGTTTAGCTGATTGAACGTTTCGTCATTATCTTTCCCTTAGAGACTTCGACTTACAAAGTGCACGTGAGTTAGATCAGTCATAATCCTCTGAGTCAAGTTAAAGATAGACGTCCATAATACCTAGCTAGTAAATAGTAATAATATATTTAAAGATTATGATTTTGTTTGTTTGGTTGGTTAGAATTACGCACAAAGCTACACAATGGGCTATCTCTGCTCTGCCCACCACGGATATCGAAACCCAGTTTCTAGCATTGTAAGTCCGCAGACATACCGCTGTGCCACTGGGGGGCAAAGATTATGAAACAATGGAATATTAATATTATCGTAATATTTAAATTGGAGTCTTTTTTTTCACTTATCGGCTTTTTCACTTAAAATTTGAATATTTAATGATTAGTAAAGAGATAAAACATCATATAATTGATACTTGAAACCGTTGGTACTTGGTGAAACTCCATAATTACAGAATTGAGGAAAACAATACAATTGTACATTTCACAAATACATCATTTATTCACGACCATGTTTTCGCCATCATCGTGGACGTGAATAAAACATAATTTGGAAACAAGTTGGAGCTGGGAGAGTGGGTCGTCGGTAGATTTACGACTTCACGAAATTACAAAGCTAAAACCCGGAGTTCGAGTTACCGCAGTAAACAGAATGCATATAGTCCTGTGTGTAGCTTTGTGCTAAAACAACAAATAACAAACAAGAAACAAAACAATAAAGGTCTATCTGTTATACTCGATATGAAAATTGACACCACAATTTTAAGTTTCAAGAATACTACATGTAACTTCTGTTTTAGTTTGTTTCAAACGTTATAAATATTTTTTTCGCTTATTTTCACCAAATCTTTCCTTTTGTATGATAAATATTTTTACATATTATTATTGTATTGTATTTGGGAGCTTTATTAAATTTGTTATTAATATTTTTTGATAAGGTAAGTTATATTTGCTGAAGAATTTCAGAGAATATTTCTATTTACATTTTATGGACGCCCCTCCTCATCAAATTACTGTTTCCAAATTAAACTGGCTTACTTTCTGTAAATTAAATGATTTAAACGCCGAAATATTGAATAATCGACAAGCCTAAAATTGTTCTAAAATAAGTTAACTTCATATCTTTTCTTCCTTTTTTACAATTCTCTTATTATTTTTAAATACCTTTGATTTTCAGCTGCTAAAAAAAATCTACATTTAAATTTTTGTAACACTGACACTGAGAGGGATGTTGGTTTTTCCAATATTTTGCCGCCATTAATCGTTTGAATCGTACACACAAATAACGTCTTATAGAACTCATAGAACCTTTTTTTTATTTAGTGGGGAGGAGTATTGACTTTCTGTGTTTGTATCTCTGATTGTTTTGGATACATTGTGGTTTGTCAGCTGTTGTTGAGCTACAAGGATTGTTTTCTACTAGACGCCTTGCTCAGCTCTATTAGAGACCGAGCAACGACTTTAACAAACCATATGTTCCAATGCTTCTACTTTGTCGACTGTAATTTGATCATCCTACACCCCTTACTGTTATTTCTAATGAAGCTGCTATCACACCATCCTATACCAAAGTTACATTGTTTACTATTCCTTCTTCTGTTATAACAGTGTCAAACACTTACATTTCTACCACACCACTTTTGACATCGGTTGATATGGGTACCAATTCTGTATCAAACGTGTGTGTTTTTTTCTATCTAAACAAGTCATACAGCCCTTTTTAAAGATCTCTAAAGTTGTCTTCGAGCAGACGTACACCAACTTATGTCAACTCGTTATAGAATGATCATTAAGACCTGTAACTTCAATTATTTGTCATCCTTTGTACTAAAATTGGGATTACAAATTTAAGCCCTAACACTGCCATCAAAAAAGCTCGGATCCATTTCTCTTAGTCAACAACCTCCAATTTATCAAACTCCACCGTTTTCACGTTTTGATTCTACTTTTTGATTTTAAACGAGCTTTCGGCTCTCTCTGGCACCATTGTTTAATCTACAAACTCCACAGCCTAAAGCTACCTCTTACCTATATCCGAATTATCCACTCATTTCTCAGTCGAAGACGTACAGCTATTCCTCTTGAGAAGACTCTCGATCCTCCGTTCTATCACCTCTTCTGATTATTCTTCATGTAGTTGATATACCTAAGCATGTCTATCCTGTTCGATTATTTCATGTGTTGATGATACTACCCAGTAAACACCTTTCTGGCTTAGAGTCGTAGCTGGCAGCTTACCCATGATGTCACTAAAACAAGAACAATACTTTTAGAGCCTAAAAAAAAGTTTCGCCCATGTGGCAACCCTGTGTTAATTAATATCACATCAACAACATACATGTCCACCTCTCTGGTACCGTTAAGTATCTATGTGTCAATCCAGTTCTCTGGCACTGTTAAGTATCAAACTTTAGTATGATCACAGTGAATGTAGTTTTTACTCCAGAAACGTAGACGTAACAATAAATGTAGTCTGATCATTGTGAATGTAGTTTTTACTCCAGAAACTTAGACGTAACAATAATGATCAGACTACAATGGTGAATGT